AACAAAAATGACACGAGACAGCAACTTCGACATCGCATACAGGATTGATTAAACGAGTTTCCTACCATACCTAGGGTGTTCGAGCACTTCCGAGCCTCGTTTCGACATCGTGGTGACGTATGTCTTAGATGACCATGGAGGAGAATATCGGCCATTTGTTGCAAAATATGTAACAATTAAATCCTAAGATAGTGTAATTGCGTCATATTATGAATATTATATCAATTAATTATTTTAATCCGTCTGATCACAATATAATTTTATTTAAAATTTCTTATAATTAAGATAATAAAATATCATTCATGTTCCTTATCGATTGATCGATGATGGTTTTATAAAAACTGAAACATGTTGTGTAAATGTTCCGAAATGTAAATCGATCAATCGATAAGGAACATGAATGATATTTTATTATATTAATTATAAGAAATTTTAAATAAAATTATATTGTGATCAGACGGATTAAAATAAATAATTGAAGTAAATCCTAACTCAATTGAGCGTTATTAATTTCGGAGATGCTGAACAATTTCGTTTGTAACTTTTTACAGAAGCAATTCATGACATAAATTCGTTGGACGTTTGACTCATATTGACAACTTGAAGCTTTCGTATCATTTATTGTACGTCCTTTGGAAACACCCTATAGCCATATTGAAATTATTCTGTTCGTCCAGGTAGCTTGTCTGTTTTGCATATTTCTGGCTGTTTTTTTTCCAGTTTTGATCTGCCGCGTCAACTGGTTACCGTAGTAAACCGACGTTTCGGGAAAAAAACTCTGTCCCCATGATCAGGGCAACTTCCGAGGTATCCAGTCACATCAGAACCCTGATGATGGGGACAGAGTTGGTTCCCGAAACGTCGGTTTACTACAGTAACCAGTTGACGCGGCTGTTCTCCCGAGAAGATTTTATTGATAATGAGAATCATTTACGTACTTCCGTTCATGAGACCTCTTTATCTCATTATTACGTCCTAAAGCTCCTAAATCATTAATGACACCTGTAAAATTCTGTAAGGTATTAAAATTGCAAATTAACGAGACCGCTAATACGGAAATATGCACTCGAAAATAGTCTCGGTATTTGTGTGAACATAAATTTTTGCGATAAGACTTAAGAAAGTTGTCTCGAGTTAACACTGTCGAGCGTTAACACATAAGATTCTGTTCCATCGCGTCATATGAGAGACTACGAAAGAGTAAACACTCTTTTTTCAATATTTTATCAGCATTCAGTGAACTTTTATACTATCTGCATGTGAATATGTTAATTCAGTCCTGAGATTTCGAAGTTTTTCTTTTCAAAACAGTCCTAGAAGATATCTAGATGGACCGCGCTAGAAAACTGTGTCCAGGAACTTTCAATCTTAAAACAACATGAATAACTCAATTGAACACTTATAGCGTTCGTGCAACGGCAACAGAATTTGGGCTTAAAAGTGTCTGATATCTCGCGTCAACATGAAGAGTGTAGGATGAAATTCTGTTCATGTAAGTTTTCAACAGCAATGCGATCGAATGCAATTATTCACACCGATTTTACGGAATAGAATATAATCACGAATATACTATATATGACTCAGACAACGAAAGAAAATGTTCTTCATCTTCAGAGATTATAAGAATGTACAATTTGTATGTCCTTGTCTGTTCATCAAGACAATTAAAAACTTCGTCTCATTTAAAATCATTACTTCTGGTCAAAAAATGTATTTCTTGATGTAATATGTGGAACCAGTTATTGATTGTGCTTACGTATTTTTCTGCAATACGTAAGTGGTGAGAGGATAACATTAAGATGGACTTTAGGGAGAGAGGAATCGACGAAGCGAATTGGATAATATTCACGTCAAAGTTTTAGAGAAATTATATAAATTGCTAGTAGAGTTCAGCATCATGACAGAGGTGGAAATTTGGGGACCGGAAGATGTTTAGAAGGAAACGGAAATTCCACGAGTTGTTTCGTAAACGAGTAATGTGAATGGGTGTGTAAGAAGACTACAAAGAACAAATAACAAAGAAAAAGTTGTACTGACAGGCCTTACATATCGGCAAAGATTTTAAGAAGTTGATAAAACTTTCCGATCGCACCTCGTATCCTTGATGAAGGCCAAGACGACTTTCAAGACGTCGGTTTTATTGCGACCTGACTCGGCAGATTGCTCGTGAAGACTTCAATGGATTGAAGAGTAATTGGGAATCATCCACCCAGGACTGTTTGGGGTGTACGAACCAGGGAATGTGTCCTATGAAACAAGACTGAAGCCAGATGCTGACACGTCAGAAAATTGTAACCTGAAGAGCAGAGCTTGTAGACAAAAGATTCAATAGTAGCGAGCCAGAAAGTCGGATTACATTTAAGAAAATATAAAGAGAAACGAAAAAGGTCAGAGATGAAAAGTGGGGAGGGGTTAAATCATAAATTAGGGGGTACCAAAGATGAGGCATAGGCCACTTCTGGCGTATTTCATCCTGAATACTAGTGAGCAAGGGGGCCGATGTTCCACTCTTGGGAGCAGATGTGAGACCTCTTGGAAGGCGCTGGTCAGTTCCTCGACGGTCCTATCGTTTGCCTTCTCATTTACCACGAGATTCCCTGGGGGTCTGTCTTAAAAGTAAGCCTATAATGCATCCGAGTACATTCGGGAGGTCAGGTAGGTTTTGAAAGGATGCTGTCTCGGTCAGGATAAGGAAGTATTCTGAGGTGAGTGCCAACGGTGAGTCAGATGCACCGGTAGAATGAGAAGACCTTGTCATGTACTATGTCAAGGACGTCATTCAATCCTTCAAACGGTAGCCCGGCCACTACCCCGGCGTTCGCAGCGCCAACCTCAGGGTGGCTGTGCCGGTCGGTAGACGCGGATTGTTCGCCCGTGGAGGCGGTGGGTTTGACCACCGGGCCTACGGCCGTGTTTCTCTTCGCGTGAATCAGCTATCAAAGTATAGACCACACTGGGTTTGGGCAAATTTTCCTACTTAAAGAAGCTACTTATGCAAAATTGTTTCATCAATTCTTAATAATTAACTAAATCAGCTTTGTACGACAGTTTTCCAACTTCTGAGTTCATTCTTGTCGCAAGATTGCAGCACAACTAATTTGGATAGATAAATGGATGAGAAATTAAAATTTAACAGGGAATACGTGTATATTTTAGTGATTTTTATCATAAATTAAGGTAGACACAAAAATAATTTTCTAACTTTTAGAAAAAAAGTACGTAACAAAATGAATACTTACTGGCCAAGAGAACAAGAGCTAGTTTCGCAATCACCGCTACGCTGTATGACATCACAACACGCTCCCGTGACATCACCATGGCTAACTGAAACACGCTGAGCACGCAGAACACGCCCAAGATGGCTACTGCTATCACCGCCACCAATCCTGCCAGCCATACTGCCACTAAAACATCAAAGTCATTGCAGTATGTTAAACACGAAACGACAAAATACAGTGTATTATTTCTACCAAACAGCTTTCGACTCCAAAAACCACTTACGTACTTTGGCATAAGAAAAAGTTAAGATTAAAAAAACTGATAACCTGAGTTGTCAGAGCGCGCTTACGTTTCCTATATTCGCGGCAGTACTGCGCGTTGGTTTTGGGTCCGGGCCCGGCGTTTTCGGTGTCATTCTCTTTGAAATTTTGTGCTCTACGCATTCGTGCCCGATTTTTGTAATTCTGGTTGTACTTTGCCCTCATATATCGCGACATTTTAAGAAAATCAGGAAATTTTCAAACTTTTTCAAATTCACAGCCTCGTATCTTTTTGAGTTTTTGAGATACACACTTGGAGGCCAGGATGAGTTGTAACATATGCACTCCTCTTCAAAACAACACTTGGTTCGCTCGGATCGGATAATTAGTCTCTGAGATATGATCCCGTTTATGGACACGTGTCGAATCCGGAAAGTCGAAAATCGTGGCTTCACTTTGCGCGTGCGCAGTTCGCGACGTCCGGCCGCCACGAATGTCGAAGCGGTACTGGCACAAACTTTCATCCTTCCTCTTTAAAACGAGACTAAGATGGCGGCGCTATGTCTATTTGTAGCCGAGTTATATAAGTTTTAAATTACTTCGACAGAAAGTGTCGCTCATTTGGGCGCGATTGCCTCCCCACACCCGGCATCGATTTTAAATACGTTTTCACGTCAAAACTCTCCTTCTTTCCCCTCACCAGTATTACCACCATGTATAGGTCGAGCGAGAAGTGCTGGCACATGCGCAAAGGACTGATTTTGGTCGTATGAGATGGACCCGTCCAAAGCACGCGCTAGAGGGGTGTCAGCTTCAGTTGGATTGTAGCTCTAGCTGTGTTTAGTTCGGTGCGTCACCGCAGCTGAGACTGTGCGACCCCCACTACTAATAAACTCCCCTCTCTCGGCTTACACATCGCGCATTTAGGAGCCACGACTACTCGCGTGTCCTATACCTGCCTGTCTATATGACTTGATTCAAACTTTACCTGTGGCGCTGAGACAGACCTAAATTGTTTCTGTCCTGAGTGTCTTCTGTTTAAATTTCATTCTAATGCACCAACTGTGATGCTAAAATGTAGAAATTTTTTTGGAGATTGCAAGCCTTTCAAAACCAAAAACACAATTCTGCCTCTACCTCAAACACAATGCAATCAGAGAAAGTAGAAAGAAGTGAAATATTTTATGGGCAAGCTCGTGATCGAGGCGTCCTTCACTCTGCCAACCTCCTGCCGACGGTCCCTATCCTGAACCATAAAAAATCCAAACCATACTTTCAAAACTTATTTCACTCAGATTTATTTTAATATTATCCTTCCACAAACGACTAGGTCTTCTGAGCGGTCGCTTCAGGCTTTCCAACCAAACATTTTCACGTATTTATTATCTTCTCCATGCACGTTACATGCCACGCCCATGAAATTTTCTTTCAGTGAAAAGTACAATTTACGAAAACCCTCAATATGAAATTTCCTCCAGCTCCCTTTTACTTAATTCCTCTTAGTTCCAAATATTCTCCTGCATAGCCTTGAGTTAAACATCCTCAGCGTATGTTCTGTTAACGTAAGAGGCGAAATGAAATGCCCACACAAAACAACATATAAAATTTTTGTTTTTCCATGTTCATCTTTGTCACATTAAGATCGTCGAAGGTGCGAGAGAAAGTGTCGTTTGGCCCCACTGAAATATGGATGGCGCTGACTGTTTAGGTTTCTTCTGACGTCAAAAGTCTTACTACCGCGCAGCTAACTTCAAGCCAGAGACTAGCAGCGCAAGAACCATGAGAATATTCAGACTGTATTTGTACTTACAGACGGGCTTGAATCTGGTGACGGAAGGGCCGCATCTCTCTCTGCCGTAGAGCAAATACTTGCAGAGTTGCCAGGGTCCGAAGTAACCAGACTCACTTCCAGGACCAGCTGAAACAATAGATCACCTGAACTTGAGCTAAATATCGAGAGAAGCACAAGATTCCATTTCCTACGTTTGCTTTAAAAATCAAAAGATTTGCCGTCGCAGGGCTTAGACACCCCAAGGCTT